CTCAGTCACGAGGAACGGAATCTCAATCGAATAGGTCGCGCTGCCGTGGGCGGTCCAGCGCGCTCTCTCGCCCTCGACGCCGACGGCGCGCCGCACGCTGCGCTCGTCCGTCCTCACCGAGGCGGACAGCTTCCAGTGGGACCGCGTGGCGGCGCTCGTGGAGCAGCAGCAGGTCGGTCGAGCAGCGCTAGGCGCGAGACCTCGCGAGCTCAGCCGAGGTGACGCGAGATCACGCGAGATTAGGCGGAGCAGCGCGAGGCGCGAGACAAGGCGCGCACCGGCGCGGCCAACGCGGCCGGTGCGGCCGGCGCGGCCGGCGCGGCCGGCGAGGGGGAGGAGCTGGGGGAGGAGATGCCCGTTGCGTCGAGCTCGCGCGCGCGGCTGATGGCGCAGGAGGCCACCAAGGCCTCGCTCGACCCGGCGCTGGCGGCGGCGGGCGCCGAGGCGCAGGCGGCGCAGGCTGCGACGCCGCTCGACTCGCTCACGACGGTCCTCGGCTCGGCAAACGGCGCCACGCTGCGCCAGATCGCCCGCGACCTCGACTCGACCCGCCTCCTGCTCGACCTCGCCGCTCCGGCAGGCCGGCCCGCCCGCCGGCTCGCCGTCCAGGTCCTCTCCGCCGCACTCTTCGGGCGGCTCGAGGCCGCGGCGCGGCGAGTGCGAGCGTTTGGCGGCGAGGCGAGGCGTCTCTTGATCGTGCCCGGCGGCGGCGCCGCCGCCGCCGCACCCGCGCGGCCGGCGCAGCCGCAGCCGTGGCCTTCGTCGGCCGAGGCGACGAGACTGGAGGAGCGGGCGGCGGCGCGGGCGAAGAAGGCTGGCTGGCTGCTGCTCCGCTCGCACGTGGCGCGGCAGGTTGGCGCGGGCTGGCGCGGCGCCGCCGCGGCAGCGGCGCTCGTCTACGTCACGGCGCGCGTCTGCCTGGCCGCCGTCGTTCGCACACTCGCCCGGGCATGCGGCGCGTGCCTCACCGCGGCGCTGCCGGCCAGCGTCGGCGTGCGCGCGGCTGCCGCGTCAGCGGCGGTTGCGTCGTGGGCGTCGCGTGAGCTCTCCGCGCTCGGCCATTCCGCGGGCGAGGTGGCCGAGGAGATGGAGCTCAAGGGGCTCGAGCTGCGCGCAAAGGGCGCGCGGCGACGAGAC